ACAAAAAAAAAAAGGGGAAGAAACAAAAGAAAAAAAATCCTTACTTTTCCCCTGTTCAAGTACTTCCTAAGTTTTGCTTAAAAAAATTAAATTGTCTTGGTTTCTATTATTAGAGATGTTTCTGACAATCAAGTTTCACTTCATTAGAAATAGGAATATGCATGAAAGGATAAACTGTGAAAGAGCAAAGCACTTTGATATGCTTGAAGTCCAGTTTTATAGCATCAGTATTTTGTACATATGTAGCTTTTTACTTCTCCCTCTCATCACAGATGAGGATGTGGTGAGAGATTTGATAATTTAATCTGATACTAATTTCCTAGTGTCATAGGCTAAATTATCATTATTGAACCTAAGTTGACTATGGTCATTCTGAATCTAAACTTGCAGAAGTAACAAGATGATTTAGGTCTTTCCAACTTTGTAAATGCAGGGGTAGCCACATTGTTGTTTGTGGACCCAACTACTCTAGCCTCAACTTTTGAAGGCAAAATCTCAAGCAAAAATATGGCTAATAAACTTGTATTCAACGGTTTGCTGGCCAAGCTCACACAATACAAGGTTATGCAGATTGCTATCAGAATATATATGGAGGTCAGGGTTGCTGTACAAAGTTATGGAAAGGTTGTATTTGCTGAAAGTATGAAGAGACATCTAAATAACATAGCAGCATAGCATTTTCATCATGATTACACGCGTGACAATAGATTGATTGGATAACTGTGAACCTAGCTAGAAATAAGAATTAAAAGTTCAAATTATATGTAATATGGGTGTTATTATATATATTTCAAATTCTAAAATTACTGATCTATTTAGATGTTGTTTGTCTTTTCATTTTCTGTCATTTTTAATCTTCTATTTAGAACTTCTTCTATACTTTTATTGATGGGCAGATTTAGGATATTCAGTCAGTGAAACTAGTTTGCGAAAGGAATTCTCAAATTTTGGCGAAATAGCTGAAGGTAAATGTCATAGCTGACTTTGAATAAATTGAATTTCCATTATCGTATCTGTCTTTTTTCTTGTTCTCTCTGTTTTAGAGAGGGGAAAAAAGAACACTCTTTGTATCATGTAACTTCATCTGCAATCTGTTGCAGTTAAGCTTGTAAAGGATATTGATATCACTAAGAGGCCTAAAGCATATGCATTTATTCAATATACTTGTCAAGATGATGCCGTTTTAGCTCTCGAGAATATGGACCGCGAGGTTCTACTTTGTCATACTGCCCTTGTTTTTCTGGACATAGTAAACTTTGGATACTCACATTTTCTATCTTTATCATCAGAGATTTGATGGCAGATTGATTTACATTGAAATTGCCAAACCTGGGAAACACAGTTTTGGAGAATATCCAAAAGCCTCTGGACCTCCAAAGAAGGAGAATTTGCAGGAGCAAGACGAGGTTTCAGATTGCTGGTACTGATCAAAGATGGTTTGAAACCAGAGAAGCAGGTTGTAAATTAGGGAATGAGGTAGAATGAAGAGCTACTTCTCAAGTGAAAATCATTTCAAGATGACCATAACCGATAACGTATGACATTGAAATGGCAAGTGCTGGTCAGTTTCATTAAAGTGAGTATATTACATGAACTACGTACCCTACAGTTTCTTGAAGCCACCTTATGTATTGCATCATTATAACTTACAATCCTTATCAGTGTACTATTTTGTCTTGGACCTGCGCATATGCAGAAGCAATGCAAAGTTATTGTTCAAACTAGAGTATTCATATAATTCAATCATAAATTGAAATTTTAATTTCTGTTTCTAAACTAAAATATTGTTAGTGTGATATTGTGTAAATGGTTCCTCATCGCAACCCAATATGCACAGGCACTTGTGTTCTTGAATTATTGCTATAAATTTATTGATTTGAGAAAAGATTAAGTGCAGTTTAGCTATTAGGTTTAGAATTATTTGGCCTTGACTTCAAGATTTAGCTAAGAAAAATTCATGTTATGCCCTTTGGGTCTTATGCTTTGCCATAGCATGATCATTTTCTCCTTCTGTCAGCTGGTTTATATAGAAAATATGAAGGGATCTTGTTATGTCACTTTTTGCCAAGTTAATTTTTGATACGGTAGCCCTCCTTGAGAGGGCAAAGGTAGGGAATCAGTTGCTGCCCGCCACTTTGAACCGCGTTTGTTTCGGGGGTGGCATTGCCCTCACTACCGCAAAAGCCGGGATACATAAATTTATCCTTTAATTTTGTTACTTTAATTTTGTGACATCTCAATTTTTATTTTGATCCATTAAATATTTTAATTTATAAAATTATGTTTATTGAATACTTCAACTTGAAAAATTAAATTAATTGAACACTCAACAAAAGTTAGAATTTATGAATAAAGCAGGCTAATTACATATTAAATAAAAACCAAAAACTCTAAAATTTATTGATATTAGTATTGAAAGTTGTACAATATTATTAAAATTTACAAGTCAAATGCACGATAGGTTATATGCAAAGTTTAAGTTAGTTATAAAATTTAAGGGTGAATTTATGTATTGAATCATGTACAAAAGAATAAGTTTGATCAAGGATCCGTTGCAGTTAGTGTTGTTTGTCCACCTGATCAGAAAATTTTCTGGTATGTATGTATGTGTTTTTGATTTCTGGTTTATGAATAATACAGGATTCAGGAGGGATTCTATAGTAGGTTAAATAAACGTCAAACCAGATTAGAGATTGAGGAATAATCACTAGGAGATTCTAAAGATAATGGACAGGCTTTGATAATAGATGACCAAATCAACTGAAAGGTAACCTTACCAGATTTCAGGATAGGCCTCACTGGAAAGATGACGTGGACAATCAACTGAAGAATAAACCCATGTCGAAATATCATACTCAGTCTTTAAATTAATTTAATTTACAGAACAAAAAGTAAAATATACTTTACTCCACCAAGTAATAATTATTTCTCATAAATAGAAATCACTTCTCGTAAATGGCTTTAAATAATGTTTCATTCCACCAACATTAGTAAATGGCTTTAAATAATGTTTCATTCCACCAACATTAGTTCTTATGAAAAATTCTCATCACCCATTCTTAGAGCAAATCACATCAAATCATTCATCATTTAAACCTTATAAATATCATTTATGTAAATACACCAAATAAGATATGTATATATATTCTATCCAGAAAAATGTTTATCTCAATAGTCATAATAAATTCCATTAACCAAAATCATGTAAACTTCATCAAATACATATGCTAAAATCAATACTCTTCTTAAATAGATTCTAATGTCCTTGAATCCGAATCAGTTAGTTTTCTTATTAGATAATACTAGCAACTCATCCTCAACATACTCCTTCCATAGGTACATGTACACACATTCATGCATTTTATGCATGCATTTCACATTCACATCATTTAACTTCAACTTAACTTTTATAATCTTAATCATGCATAACTTAACAACATATCTTCTTGCGTACACAACCCTTACAAAGTTTACCTTTTCATTCTGACGATATTTACGTATATCATATATGTTATTTTTCATGTTTAACAGTTCGGTAAACCAATATAATCAACAGCTCACTGAATCTATACAAGTGACTTTCATTGTCATGGTATAAACAGATCCTTTCACTTATTCAAAACTTTAGAAACCACACTTTTGAAAATTTAAAAAATTAAAATTTTTTTTTCTTTTTATTTCAAAGTTTTTCAGAGAACAGAAGAATTTTCATAGCAGATCATTTGTTTTCATAAGCCAGCTTAAAACTATGCTTCTTCTGGATTCAACATGAACAAACATTTTCCAAGTCACTCCATGCTATCACTATCATGGAATTAAAAAATCAATTCACTCATATCAATCACAAAAAGTACACAATTCCTTTAACGCTTCCAATAATATTTCATCTCATAACCTACATCGAATTCCCTATCATTATTCTCTAAGGAATATCCTCCATTGAATAATGGTCCAGAAGGATTATAACCATTATCATCAATTAGTAACCTCAAATATTATACTCCGTTACCACGACACCATTCTCCAATGGTGAGTTGTTTCCAATCAAACCAATACGGCATGTCTTTAACTTAAATTACTCCTACTCTTCACTTCGCAACAAAACAGATAAATTCCTACATATATACACATATAGTCCGAGAACCGCCTAAACCTAGGCTCTGATACCAAAATTTGTAACATCCCTTCCCGGTCCACCTATTAACTCGAATGAACTGAGCCGAGGCACTACAATCTGGTTGAACTTATGTCCTGTCATGCTGATATCATCTTGTATGCTAAATATGAATACAAAACACTCCCAATTAAACTACAAACTTCCACCATCTCCAAATAATCATCATAACACAATAACACTTTATATATTTTCATAACTGTATAAATCCTCAATAGCATTTAATATCTAGCATTAATATCTAGCAATGAATTTGCATTATTATATATAATCAAGTCTTCATTGAACTAATTTCATTTCCAAACTAATTTTAAATATTTCATATTTCAATCATTCTAGTATTTCTTTATCTCCAAATATTATGCCAATTAATACATGCCTTCAATTTTATATTTCCAATCACATAAGCTTCTAAAAAAATGTATAATTATACATGTCATAATTCTTTATTGATACAACTCTCAATCTACTACTACAAATTAGTCATTCTGCTTGATCAGTACTCTTCAAATCTTAAGTAGCAACCACGATTCTTCAACCTAACGTGATAAAAAATCGGACATGCTGAGTATAACAAACTCTGTTGTGTTCATTAATTCAGCATACTTACCAAAAGTTGCGTGGCAACTTACTTTAAAATACAAATTTCATAAAATCATTATTAATTCATAGAATCATTAATTTCAACATAAATTATACATTTATTAGCAAAAGAATAAACTTCTAATTCATTAATATAAATAATTTAGTTCTTATCATATCATAAACTCCTTTTACATAAACATTTTAATCACCACATTATCATGATACTTTCATGATCTTACCTGTTGTTCATTATGATTGTATTGAATTAAATTAATACACTGTAAGCACACCATAACATTATATTTTCATTATCTACCTTGCTGTTCATTTTATGCTGTATGACTTATGGTACTTTTTATTCAACATATATTAAGTTATAAATAATAAAATCTCATAACTGTTATGGCTCCATAAGAACTAAATTTAAATAAACTTTGTAGCAACCCAAAAATATTAACTTTTATGATTTACCTGATGTTCCTTATGCTTGTATGAATTCTACAACTTTTTATTAAAACTCCAATGCGTATCTCATGAATAAAGAACATGTAAGCACATACATATGTGATAAAATAAAACATTGTAAGCAATTTTTAGTCAATATAACTGTATAGGCTTCCATAGCGTTATAGTTGGAAACCAAAGTGTGATAAGAAGAAACTGTATGGAACTGGATGAATACTGTATTGACTGGTGCTTATTGGCCCATATATAATCATATCACTCAACGGCCTGTAGCCGGAGTATTCAAACTGTTACTGGGGCCCAGATTGCTTATCCATGTTCGCGACATAGCCTTTATCTTACGTGGTTTTACCTAACATTAATGAATTATTAGCGGGGTATGTCAATAGTACAAAACAGCTAGTAAATGCAATCCTAAAATTCCATAACCATACTGTTTACCTGTATGCTGATAGCTCGCAAGCGGGCCAACTTGTTGTTATTGTTAGTTTTCACATCTTAGTTTCACATCATTTGCATGATTGCATGTCATTTTACATTTGCTCGTGTTGTCTTTTTGTTTTAAAGTGATTGTAGTAATACCATTTGAGCAAAGGAATACCATTTCATAGAAAAAGAGGTCCAAAAGGCATCAAAACACAAGTCGCGAGCGCGACATTAAAATACGCAAGCGCAAGAAGCACACAAGAGAGTCAGAGAGCTTACAAGCACAAATCACGAGCGCGACATGAAATTTGCGAGCGCGAGAAGCACACAAGAGAGTCAGAGAGTTTACAGGCACAAATCGCGAGCGCGACATGAAATTCGCGAGCGCATATTTCTAGCCTGCGCAGTTTGTACTATTTTGGTATATCATCTCAATTTATAAACTCCGATTTAGGTTGATTCAAAAATCTTGGACCAGCTACACATAGAGAAAAAATAACGCTTCATTACCCACTTCTAACTTCCATGCATTAAACAGGGTCAAAATCAGGGTGAGTTAACTAGTCAGTTTTCCAACAAAATTTTGTTCAGGCATTAACTTAATATCTACTTCATTTCTTCATACCATCCCCATTTTTCTCACCATTTCCAGGACCTCTTACTCAACATTCAAACAATTGCTATTTCTCATTATCAACACACTACACAAGTTCTCATTGCAAGGGAAATTTATTAAACTTAAAGAGATATCAAAAACTTCACTTTCAAAAGCTTTGAATCTTCTTCTTAGGCTTCCTTTTTCTTCTACCTTTGAGCTCACCTCTTCCTATACATCAGGAACTTTCGTTATGAATTATTCTAAAATATCACTAAAATTAGGAGGTTGAATAAACTAGAGCTGCAAGAAATTCTACGTCAACTTACTTGGATAGAGTTATAGGTTGAATTTAATGCTTGAAATGTTGAATATTAAGGTAGAAAAATGGAGGAAGATTTAGGAGAAGATGGAGAAGGTAAACTAAAGGAAGAAGACAAAGGAGAAGATGGAGAAGGTCAAGTGAATGGAATTTTTGGGTAACCTCTAAATATATCTCTGGTTGTATGTTAAAAATTACCA